TGGATTTATAAATACTGGACTTTGAAAAACTTACTGCTAGCGCTGCTTGCCGCGTAAGCTGATGCACCGCTTCCGGCTTGACTCGCCGCGTTCGCTGCGCTGGAAGCCCAACTTCCGCCGTTTGCTTGCCCAAAAATCGGGCTCGGCGCTGAAAAATCGGAAAATTGTTCTCAACTGCGAGTTTCATGAATTTTTTTTTTTCTCTTTTTACGGCGTAAATATCTCTAGTTTGAAATTGACAGATAAAGTATAAAATCAGTCAGATTTTGGTTTTCAATGGAATCGCGAATATCTCGGATTAAGAGATCACGACGAAGATTGTAATTACGAGGCAGACTTTGGTTTGATCATCGACGCTATTTGTATGTAATTCCAACTCGATTGCGGCTGATGCTGCATCGAATTTTATCAAAGTGACTGAGTTTATAAAAACGGAGCGGATATCGAAATGCGTTCAATGAGTTTCCGATCGAAAGGATGTATTTTTGTTTTGACTCTGTACCCCTCGATTTCGATTCGATTACTATTTCTCCCAATGATCAAGAACCACTTCTAAGCACATGTGGACAACATCAAAAGAAAGGAATTTCAGCGATGCATAGCTTCTCAAGGAGACGCTATACATTTTTCATTAAATGATATCATTACTTTATCAAACACGTACAAATATGATGTACACAGACACACACACACACACGTGTGTATACACGCAACTGTGTATTGAAATATTAAGAGATACATCAAAAGGACGATTACATATAATTGCCTGCAATTTGCCTTTAATTTCTGTTTGATCACGCTTGACCACAATTGACTTGACTTATCGATCAAGGAGATACAACGACGTTGTGTCATATTCTTAACACATTCGCGACCGCTGACGTGTATTCACGTATTTATCGAATTACATTCTTGGCTGGAAGTTCTTCACTTCAAACATTTCAAACCAAATTCTCGGCAATTGGCTTGAGAGACTCTCTTCTTCATTCTCACCGGGTATTTTTTTTTTTTTTTTTTGGAGGAAATCTTCGATAAGATACCTGAGTCTTTTAAGCGAAGACCCAGGTAGTGTCGGGTTTTTACCGACTAAAGCCTCCAACGATGGCCATCCTTCGCACGTTGGGAAAGCTCTGGGACCTTTATTATACACACAAAGTTCTCCTCGTGCTGTTGTCCTAAAGGACAATATCTTTTTTTCCGCCCGAACAGGGGTTCGAACCCTGGACCCTCAGATTAAGAGTCTGAATGCTTTACCGACTGAGCTATCTCCACCTTTCTCACCGGGTACGTTCTGTGCCAAGCCATTTTTGCCTTTTGTTGTCGTTCAGGCCATTTAATATTTTGAGTTTAACTAAAGGTTGATATATTATCACACAATCTTTCATTACATCATCAATC